ATTAATGAAATAATTTTTTTAAATTAAAATTGAAAAAAATAACAAAATAATCATTTTTATATTATGTAAGGGCAAAAAAGACAATTACACAGCAAAAAGTTATTTTATAATTTATAAATCAAACATTATTCTGCTGCTTAAATCCATAATCCCACAGCTGCACCAAACAGATAAACAACTTATGTTTACATCTATAAATTATAATCTGTTAAGTTATAATTTATAATCACTTTTTCACAACTCTACCAAGGTCAATACAGCATTTCAATAATAGATCTAAGAAATTGGAATCCCATCAGGTTAGTAATGCTAATAATAAATTCAGAAAAATAATAATAATAATAATAATGATATCAAATGATTGAGCTCCATAAATATGTTGGTTACAACAGAACTCATTGAGCCTCCGTTTGGCAAGAAAAAGCCCAGTCTTTTTTGGCTAAAATAGCCACAAAAAACAAAATAGGCTATTTTAGACACAAAAAACAAAACATCAAATCCAAACAACTCTACCAAGGTCAATACAGCATTTCAATAATAGATCTAAGAAATTGGAATCCCATCAGGTTAGTAATGCTAATAATAAATTCAGAAAAATAATAATAATAATTATGATATCAAATGATTGAGCTCCATAAATAGGTTGGTTACAACAGAACTCATTGAAAACTCTAAAAAATAGAGTACTAATAGTGTTAATGAGTTGTAAATGTAAAAAATAAAATAATAGAGACACCTATCACATCACATCATGAAAGGAACCAACTCCTTAGCGTTCTTCCTAATACTCTATTTGTAGTGTTTCCAAGCATTTTTGTAGTTACAATAACACTAGCAATGAACAGTGTGAGATGTCAGAATGGCCATTGACTCAACTGTTTCATTTTCAATTTTTTGTGTTTTCAAAAATAAAATTTTAAAAAATTGAAAATATTTATCATTGGAAAAAACAAAATTTAAAAATTCAAAAAATAACTTCAAAGTTTCTCTTAAATGATTTAATTTTTTTTTCAAAAACAAATTTTCCGAATGAATTTCTAATTTATGAAAACATCAAATGCGCCCATAATTTTACTTTTTGTTTGTCTGTATTAATTGAATCTAAATCATGTTACTTTTGATCTAATTGACAACAACACATGATAATCCAGCTTGAATATAGTTGGCCTATTAGACTTGCTTGATAATCCAGCTTTTACCATAAAAATGCCAATCTCATGGAAAATACTTGTTGGTATTGGGACTAGATTGGAGGGTCTAGTTTTGTATTCTGAGTATATCTCGATAATTTAAATTATTTATTTTTTTGTATCTATGAAATAAATTATTTAAGAAAAATTTAAATTAGTTAAATATCAATAGTCACACTTGGCAATAATTCCAAAGCTAAAGTAATTATGAAACATAATTTTATTTAAAAAAATCTAATTGACTGTATACGAATTTTGGTGAGTTATAAGAATTCTAGCCACCTAAATCTTCTAGTATTGATTATGATTACAATTTGAGTGATAAAATTTGAGTGATCATGTGCATTGTATTTAGTCAGCACTGCTGGCAAGCTTAGTTTTAGTGCTCATGTGCATTGTATAAAATTTTAGTGATAAAATGCTAAATTTTTATTCCAAAATTTATCCAAAAGTAAGACATACTGTTTAAATTTAAAGTTAGTGAGACATATATTCCCAATAAATGTGATCTATAAATTAATTTTTTTTAAATATATAACATTATTGGAGATATGATCTATTTTAACCAATTTTTCTGAGTAAATAATATTAAAAAACACAGTAAATTAAGGATTATTTTGGAAAGTGACTTTTGTTTTTGATTTATTAATTTTTATTTTTTTTTTATAAAGAAACATGTAAAAAAATAAAAAGATAATGTAATTCAAATAAATTAATAAACTAATGAACTAAGGTTTTGTTTGGTTTAAGTTTGGAAAAGTTATTCTTTTTTTGGAGTTGTAATATGAGTGTGGAATTGTGAGTTGAGTCTTGAAAAAATAAAATTTATTTAGTTATGAGTTTTGAAAAGAGTTTTAAAAGGTGTTTTTGAAATTTGAATTTTGAAAAGAGCGAATTGGGTCTACCTAGTCGTCCGCCGAATATGTTTCCGGACGTTCAGCCGGTTAACCGGAACAATGTTTTTTTTTTTTTGAAATTGCAACCTGTTATTTGAAAATATATATATATATATATATATATATTTGTTTTAGATATTTTTTAAATATAAAAATTACTTTTTTAGATTTTTTATAAAAATAATTTAACGATCTCATTACTAACCAATCTTTAATACTATATTACCAAAAGAGTTTTGAATTGAGTTTTGTGTTGTGTGTTGGGTTATGAGTTTTGAAATTAATTTTTGAATTAAGTTTGTATAATTTTAAGTTATGTATTTGATTATAAATTTTAAAAAGTATTTTGACAGGTGATTCTAGGGGTTGTTTGGAATGTTCTAAATAAGTTTATTTTTTGACTTTTTATGAAATATGAGTTGAGTATGGATTGAGTTTGAAGTGAGAATAGTAATTTTTTGACTTTTTAACTTTTTTAGAAGATGAAAAACAAGACTTAAGGGAAACCAAACGGAGTTTAATTTTTTTTTTTAATTGCCAAAATCAGGAAGTCTCAAGTTTCAGACTCTCTCGGCCGACAGAGACGAATAGCATGCATGTGGGGCTGTTCAACTTCAACCACAAAATTATTAGACTATAATATAATATTGTTTGTGGTATTTTTAACAAATAAAAAATAATATTAAATTGAGTAAAAAAATTAACAAGAAAATAAAATTTAACTTAAAAAAAGCACTTTTTCTTTTCTTCTTTTTTTTTTAAAAGCAAAAGGGGAAAAAAAAGAAAAATCCCTTTTTCCTTTTTTTTTATATTTTTTATTTCTCTTTATAAATTTTTATTCCGATTTAAGATTTATATAGAGTTTGAGTGGATTTTTGCCTTTCAACTATCTAATAAAGACGAGTCAATATATTTCACTCATAAATTTTTTATTTTATTTTTAATTTGAAAATATCGTATAAATAATATCGTATGATACTTAGGACTGCTGAATAATTAACTATTTGAATCACCCCATACCAAACATATAAATTAAACACAAAATGATTACTTGATAGTTGATACAAGTTGGTAGGACTGGGTATAGGGTTATTCGACCCGCACAACCTGTCCTACCCGACTCTACCCGCACACGTATGGGCGGTTTCACAAATACAATAGGATAGAGTGCAGTTTAAAATAATTCAATTTTGCAGTTTGCGGACGGGTTGCGAGCCCGCACTATATATATATATATATATTTAGAAAAACCTGGCCATTCATTTACTTGGAAGAATTTAGAACTTCCATTATATGTTCTGTATTTGTTTTAACTAATTGACTTCTAGTCTTACCTAAGTTGCACTTTGGTTAATAATTTATATGATTCAAAGTACTTTTTTTTTAAACTTATTTATCCAAAAAAAAAAAAAGAGTACCTTTTTTTTGAACTGATTTTTATGTTTGATCAACACAATGCTCTCATATTACAAAATATAAACAGTGCAAATCATGGATGTTAAACCGATGGGTGACATAAGTGACAATTCCATTCAATCTGTAGGCAGTCTTAGTGTGTGTGAAGTTAAAATTAAACAATATTTATGTTAATTTTTAAAGAAAAAAATTCAAATCGCAAACCGCCCGCAACCGCCTGCACATCCGCAAATTGTATCCGCACAAACCGCAAACTGCACAAATCGGATCCGTGAACACCCCTACAAGTGGGTGTTTGGAAAGTGGATTTTTTTGATTTTTTTTGTGGTTTGAGTATTTTGTATTTTTGTTTGTGTTTGGGAAGATGAGATGAATTTTTTTGAGATTATTGTATTGAAAAATGTGTTTGAAATGAGAGTAAATTACAAATTGACCGAATTGCCCCTATTGCTATTTAATTGCTAATATTTTTTTTTGTCCACGTGGCCACCATTTACACCAAATTACAAATTGTGCCCCGAATTGACACGTGGCCACGGTTGCAATCTGTCAAAACACAGGGTGCAAACAATTGTTACCTAAATATTAATTAATGAAGTTGTTGTTAGTTTGCCATATTAAAATTAATTAAAATTTTCATTTAATTGGAAAAAAAGTATCTATTTCTCCAGAAAATAAAAAAACATTTGTAATTTTACATTTATTTTTAATTTTTACAAATAAAAATTAATTAAAATTTTGTTTGGTGTAGTGAATTTGTGCAAAAAAAAAAGATAATTCACTTTCTATCTCGTATACATCAATTAATCATTTTTTCTCACTCATCTCTCATTCTCAATCACTTTTTCGTTTAGACACATCTATTCAACTATAATAAAATTATTTTCACAACTCATGTACTCCCAAATTAGTTCGAAAATATACAACCAAACAAACCAACTAAATTTCTAAACTCTTTCCCCATAATTAATTTTCAAAATTTATCTGTGAAAACAAAACCAAGCAATTCCTAAGTATTTATTCAAATATTTTGTTGTTCCACTATATTTGTATCTTCTAAAAAATTAATGAAAAAAATACTACGATTTTTCTATTTTGATTTATCTTTGAAATTCATTAATACTACGAAATGTACAATGAGTTTAATTGATTTTTTTTTTTAAAAAAAAAAACTCAAATAATTCAAGGGGAAATGGTGATTTTCAGATAATTTAGTTAAGTAAGAAAAGCAAATTTTACAGAAATAGACAAATGTGGTTACCAAACTAGGGTGGTTTCCTTATAGAAGCAGTTAATAAAAATAAAACAAAAAATTACAAAACAATCTACATTTAAATAGTAAATGATAAGATGTAGTACTTCATAGAAATTTAAATTTGCAGTACACTTTCATTGTCCTTACACGAATTACAAATTTAAATAATTTGTTACAGTCACATTGCAATGCGGAAATAGAAATTACAAATTACACAAGCACATAAATTAGATAACAAGCATTTCACAATAGTCCTTGATTCCGTATGTGAAACAAATGGTCACGGATGCGTACGCGAACTCTTGCCATATGTACATCCGTATTCCCAACCATGTGGCCATCATCCATATTTTGTCTTCCTTCCACGGCGGGCATGTCATCTGGAACAGAGGAACATCTGACATATTCGTTGTGTGCATTAGCAACTATCTCGTGCTTACGGATGAAATTGTGTAAGGCCATTGACGCACCAACCAATGGCACTTGCACCGTTGCAAAATCATAGTCAAGCATGTCGTTCAGGAATTTCCAACGCGATTTCCACACTCCAAATGTTCTTTCCACCATGCTCCTCAATGATGCGTACGCCTCGTTAAACAATTCTCTTGGGTTATCGGGTCGTCCACGATCCCGGAACTGTACTTGGTGATACCGAGACCCTTTGTATGGTGCCAAATACCCCTTCCTGTTTGGATATCCCGCATCTACAATGTAATATTTACTTACATTTGGTCAATCAATTTAAGATTTTCAACAAAATTAATAATGAGTACTTAATTTAAAATGTGTTACCTTCTTGGGGTGCAGGAACGGTGTATGTTAGTTCTCAATTATTTCGTTGAAGATGTGACTGTCATGCATGCTTCCTTCCCACCCACAAGATATGAAAATGAAGTACATGTCGAAGTCGCATACTGCTAGTATGTTTTGGGTTGGATATCCTTTACGACCGTAATATGCGCCGGCATCACGGACAGGCAACACGGCTTTTACATGAGTACCGTCCAACGCTCTAATACAATGCTGCACCAATAACGTACAGCACATAAGGTTTACGTACATCACATAAAATGAAAAGTAACCGATAACGACAACTAATATGCTAACCTTGAAAGGCACGTATTTCCCTCTGGATCGCAAATATAGATGCTTATTATTTTGATCTCTGGTGGGCTTACAATGCACTTCTGTGAACAACTCCATCGCTTCCAACATTGTATGGAAATATCGCGACAGTTTCTCCTGAGTGTTGGAATTGTTCCTGAAGTTTTCGGTTAGTGCAGCCGTCCAACGTATGGATGAACATCGCAACACTTTCTTCAATGTGTAATCCATGGGGTCTTGTAGGTACCCATAAACCGAAGTCGCTTCGCAATGTGTCACACAACGCTTGAAACACATACGGCGGCATATGCAAATTTTGTTCACCCCTGGCTACGTGGCCATCAAATAATTCTTGAATCCAAGCACGACCGGTGAGAATAGAAGTTCGGCATGGGATCTTCTCCATGTACTTCAGGTAATATTCCATTGCATAATGCATAGTGTCACCGATTATGCTGTTTTGTAGGTCTTCTTCTTCGTCAGCAAGTTCGATGATTTCATCATTGTAATTTCTGTAGTTGCTACTTTCATCTTTCCACATTATTTGTTGATGACTTCTACAATGCACACAACACACAGATCAATTATCCAATTGTAAACTAAGCACATATGGACCATTAAAGTTCGACCATAAAAGTGGAACACATTAACTATCCATTACATTACATTGAACCATTAAAGTGAACTATGCCAAAAAAGGTAAAGGTTACACCATGATCCCATATTGCGCAAGACAAAAGTAGGTACCATTCACAAAAGTAAAGTAACAATAAATACAGCGCTGTGCAAATACACAAAAAACAAAACAACTAAAAAAAGAGACCCACAAAACTAGTCCACAAAAACCACACTACATCAACACCAAACGAGTCCCATTTTTGCATGAAAGACCAAACCCAAGTACTCACAGGCCTTTTGAAGCCTGCAACGCCACAAGCCAACCGACAACATTCTCATCATCTGGCATGCACATCAATATTTCCCGGTAATCTGCGTTCTCTAAGGCAATGCAGGCGAAATGGAACAGGAGGGTACTGATGAAGTCCGGGATAGCCATAAGCCGCTGAATACATGGCTCAATGCCATACTTCTGCGATGCACCAGTTCTGTGCCTGACCGTCAGGTGCTTCTGTGCTTGAACCGCGTTAGAAAGATGGTTAAAACTATCCGCAAGCACCGATGCTCAACTAGAGATCTTCTTCGACTTTCCACTAGTGCTACCTCCATTTTTCCTCCTTGTCCTGGGGTCTGCTTCTTCAACGTGGATAGTGGGGGAGTTTAGAGTTGAGTTGACGACTGGTCTGTATGGCTCGGTAAACGGTGCCAACCCAGGTGTCATGACCCAAACCCGACCCTATGGGTTTAGCACCGTAACCGGCCAGTAATCCGAGATTACCAAAGGCCTGCTTAACAGTAGCACAGTAAAACAGAGTGCAGGGCCTGGCGGAAGCCAAAACAGTAAAGAAACAATGTCCAATGAGCTGTGACAGTCTGTATGCAAAAAGACTTTTCATACGTATATACACAAACAGTATAGAACAGTATGCACAATATATACAATCATTCAGAATAGGGACTTAATCCCTATATAACAGTACAGTAAACATTCAGTCTATATAATCCACTCGGTTATTACAAAATAGCAAGACAGTACAGAAGGGGGGGAGTCCTAAAACACCCCTAAGCCTTAGCATGATAGGCTTGGAACCTCGTAGGGAGGCACGGTAGTTGGCTGGACAAAACTGGAGTGACCCTGACGCTCCTAGCCGCGGTCTGGTGCCTGTACACCTACATATATATATGAGCAGTGAGCTAAAACCCAGTGAATAACATAATGCGTAAAGAGGTTAAGAATGAATGTCCTTACAGTAATGAAAACAGTTCATTAAATCAGTATTTCAGTCGTTCAGTCAGTACAGTCATATGTGGTACATCCATTAGCATAACAGTACAGTAAACAGTAGGTCTTAAAAGACCGAGCAGTAAATGATGGCCATCAGTCAGTAACAGCAGTGGTTCCAACGAGGGAACCGACAGAGATCTCTGTAACAGTAACAGTAACAGTAAACAGTAAACCAGTAGGTGCTAAGGATGCCACAATACAGTTCAGAATATAGGACACATTCATTCAATTAACAGTAATCAGTTCAGAAAACAGTACAGTTCAGTTGTTCAGAAAATAATCATTTGTGAACATATCTTTACACAATTGTTACTCACAGAGTTTTGGGCTACAGTATGCTAGAGCGTGTCTCCCCAGTCGCCAACCCTACACAGTTCACAGGTTGAACACACACTAAGCTACACAGTTGGGAAAAATCATAACTTAATCCCTAATGCCTCGGTGTGTTCTACATCTATATCCTCAGTAAGATGCCTTAAACTAGGCCTAAGAATGCCTAGAATGGGATGAGGATGCAAAGATGTACTAAAAAAACAGTTTCAGAAGTTTCAGAAAAACAGTTTCCCGCTCGAGCTCAGGTTTCCCCTCTCGAGCGGTCATGCAACAAAGGTACACGCTCGAGCGTCAGATATCCCGCTCGAGCGTACTGTAAAAGTACTGGATGGGTGAAATCTCTGCTCGACGGACGCTCGACGCCCGCTCGATTGTGAGACACATGCCTCCGCTCGAGCGTCCAATCCTCCGCTCGAGCGGACTGTAAAACAGTGCAAAGATACTGGATGCTCAGATTCCCCGCTCGAGCGTCACTTTCCCCACTCGAGCGAAGGTGCAAAATCTGGAAAACCCAGGTTGCACCTTCAAGCCAAAAACCAAGTTTAAATGCATCCAAACTGATCCTTTTAGGCTGAATTTCGAGAAAACACTTGTAAACATATAGAATGACATGTTTCAAAACTCAATTTGAGAAATCAAAGCCCAAGGGTGTTTAATTCAAACTCAATTTCAAACCAATTTTCATGGACAAGATGAACATGCAATATGCATGAATTCAAACCATTTCAAAGCTTCAATTTCATGCTCTAGTGAGCCAAATCTTTCAAAAACATGATGAGTTCATGGTCTCTTGTAAAAATATGAGCATGCATGTATAATTTTTATGAAAGACAACTTCAAAACTTCAAAATGAAGGCATGCATGCATGAACTAGGCTCCAATTCAACATACATGGACCAATTCAAGGCTCAAATCACTAGAGGCACAAGAACTAAGCATGAACAAGTTCAAGTACATTACTAGAAGGTTAAATTCTCTTACCTAAGTCTTGAATTATAGGCAAGGAAGCTCAATTATGCCAATTTATACTTCAATCCTCTTAATTTCCAAGCAAGACCAAGCAAAGTGAGATGAAATCTAACTCTCTCTCTTATCTCTCTCTCTCTGGTCGGCAAAGGCAAGGAATGAGCTGAGCAAATGTTTTGTAATGCATAAGAATGAGTCTTCAAAGTATTAAATAAGTGACCCACTAGGATGGCAATTTGGTAATTAAGCCTAACTCTTAATTGGCTCATTTTAATCTAATTTAATCATACCAGATCAATTTTCGGATAATTATACCATAAAATCACATAAATTACAATGATCATAAAACACTAATCAGTTTTTGGTTCGGCCGCCGATAAGGCCTTCAATTTGCAGTTGAAACATAAAACGTGAACAGGTCAAATAAACAATCAAACAGATAGAATACAAATTAACATACGTACGCAGTCAATTCAATTCCAGTTTTCAGTCAGTCAGTTCAGTACTTTAATCAGTTCAATTAACAGTCATAATCAGTTCAGTTTAGCGGTAATCAATGTTTATCGGTAAGCAGTGGAGAGGGTTATTACACCAGGAGAGTCCACTGAGTCGGATTCACCTTCGCCAGCATCCACAGCGTTCTCCCCCGGCGTCCAATGGTGTTTGCCAGTTGCAGTTGCCCCAGTGAACACTTCGCGCATCAAATCTTCGTGCTCCAATGGTTTCGTCTTGAATTTGTAAGCAATCTTGTTTATCTGCAAATGAAAAATCAAAGTACAATTTAATTTTTCCGTCATAGTGCCACGGGACATTCAACGAACAAGGTACTTTCGCTTACATGTCTGTACAAAATGAAAAGGGCTAGTTTGACATAAGTTAAATGTAGTTACTTTTTTATGATGTAAAGTGTTCAAATTTGTAGTTATTTTGGATTGAAAGGGTTTGAAGTTAACGTAATGTACATTTGTGAAAAGTTTACGACAAATACTAAATAATAATAAGTACAAGTTGCCTTTAAACTTAGAGGACTTATTACGTAAAATAAAATATATGTTCGTGCATACCCATTTAAGATTGTCCCATCACTCTTCCGACGCTGTGAACAAACCGGATTCCCTGTCAAACCCAATGCCAGTCACACCCTCACTGCTATCCATCATCTTGTTCCAAGCCTGCTATTCCTTTTTCAAACTACTATACTTGTTCTTTAGCTGTGTGATGTCATGACGTCTACCCGTGCGCTTCGTGAATTTCAATGCAATTTCATTATACCCTGTTTTGGTTATGGTTGTGTTGGCCCGCTAATATTGTGTCCCTAACACATTGTAAGAAGATTTCAGTCGTTGCACCGTCCCAGTTCGCCTTATGTGCATGATCGAAGTCATCAACAAATCCTTCAGTTCCTGATGGGCCAACCCCTTTATTCTTAAACGGGGTGCGAGGGAACAACCGTGTTGCAGCCATTCGACTAATGTCAGAGGACGTATTGTATACATTAGAACCCAGTTGATGAATACATTTTCAGACAATAAACTATGAACCATATAAAAAAGATAACTTCCACAAAGCTTATCCAAAGTAGTACAATAATTACTAAGAAACACACAAATCTGTAGTACAACAATACGTATTGCATACAAACGATCACAATGCAGTTACTTGTTGAAAATAGTACTTCTTGAAAACAATACATATGTACAAGGCTAATGATTTACGGGGTTTACATTCGCAATAATAAGATGATGACCATGATGCACAACACACAAATCACCGTTTTCATTACACGCAACGTATTACAAATGTGCACGACATCAGCCCATAACTGCAGGACATTGGTTGGCCCAGAGTCATGGTCGGGGCTCCGTCTCCCTGATTCGTCACACCAACCAATCCAATTAACACATTGCTGATGAGTAAGAAACATAAAACATTTATTAGTTATGGATATTACATTGTGCAAACATATGGAGTGACAAATTTAAATCAGTTGTTACAACTCACCACGAGCCGGGGGCAAACATAATATGCATGGCCAGGATTTTTGTGAGATCTAGATACCTTCACAAAACAATGGCCATAGCCAGAAGCACACATGCGTTGTGGCCATGTCAACGTGGCAGTAGAAAAGAGGAAGCCATATTACTACACACAGACCAAGCACATAACTAAAACAGCACCACAGATTGGGGTTATAATTGCAATGCACGTATATTCGCTGAAATGTAATAGTGAATTTATAACAGCGTAACAAATTGAAGGAATAGCAATCTACATTTATAACAACAATTGATTGTTAATAGCATAACAAATTGAGTGAATAGGTAATTAAGCTAACTCGGAAAGCTTTGGGAAATCCAATTACTCACTGTACAGTTCACATTTGTCCATTACTTTACACTTTTTTTGTGTCAATCAATTTTAAACATTTGTTTGCACTAGAAAAAGGGTAAATGAAAGAAGAATTTTTTTTTTCCAAATCAATTAATTAGTAATTCATCAAATCTGTGTAAATTGAAATCAAATTACATAATCGGGAAAAAAAAGTTGATGAGAAGTGCGATATGCTCCCAGCAGTTAAATGTTGGTTTAAGATTTTATTTACATGGAAGAAATACATAAAAAAAAAAAAAATTAGAGTCAAATGGGCAGAAATGAAACATGTAATTCATAACGGCATACCCACAGATTGAAGGAATAGGTGTTTAAGTTACAAATTTTATTGCTTGTGATTATCAAATAAGGGAAAAACCAAAATACAGAAAAAACACATG